TATCTTCTTAAAGGATCATCAAGGATCACATGGGACTTTTATATCACTACTACAACAGAAATATGAAAATTATTGGACACAAGAAAATAATTATCTTGTATTCAAGTACGTATTTTGTGTTCTGTTGTTTGTGCATATTACTACAAACTAATAGTTTGTGTGTATGCACTAAAATCTATTCTACAGCATTTCCCTTTCTCACTAAAACAAATGGACATTTTTTAAAAACATTTTCATTATGAAATCATATTTTATTGAGCTGGTCAATCAGTTGTTTGCAGGTTTGAATTTTGAAAGTCTTCAATTTTGCCAAACAATTGGACAGTTATTCTTTAAAGGGTTGATATCCTGATTATTTTCTCATAAAGGCTATGTATATACATTGATTTCATCTAATAATTCTTTTATTGGCTCATATGATGTGATGCTCCATTGAATATAAAAACAAAATTTGTCAGGATACCACTGCTTTAACCATAGTAAGATTTGTATTTTTAGAACGTTTTATATTGGTGCTGATTCATGATGCCTGTCACAATATACAACCTGCCAGTTGCCTGATATGATATCACACCACTCAAAACTACAAAGTGAACTGAAGTACATATTCTGGAGGTATCCGTTTTTGAATCTAATAATTTTCTCACCGTTGGCTTTTAGACAGAATATTCTACATCTACCTTGTGATTGAAAATGAGAACTTCACAATGAGCTGGAAATTGTCTATAATAGAGAAATTATAAATGGAAGAACCTTTTCCTCAAGAGTAATACATTATATTGTGTCTGAAATGCCCTGTATTGGCTTGAAGAGATATATAAAAATATCAATGTTAATAAAAATAATGTTTTTTGAAAATAAAAATAAATCAGATTTTTCTGTTCAAATCAGATTTTTCAATTAAGCCTGATCTAAATTTAAATATTGAAATTAGGTAAAATATTTAGATATTTGAAAAGAGACCAAAATATTATCTTGAACACACTTATGCCTTAAAGGAACAAAAAGAAAGAACAAGCTTTTGAATATTTCAATGCTAACTTCAATGATGATGGAGTAGAACGTACATCAAAAATTTGACAATTGAATTGTGAAGAACTCCTTTTACTGGAGCACTTTTAGATCGAATGTTATGAAAGAACTTGTATCCATAGAAGGTGGAAAAGTGTGTAAGTCATTAAAAAAATTGTACACAAAAAGAAATGAATATTGTAAAACAAAAATTACTATCATTAGCGTCTACAGCTACTATGGAATGAATATTTTCCACTTTTGGACTTGCTCAGTCAAAAATTAAAAATTGCCTTAGAACAGAAAAAGCAATTGTTGTTCCTTCACAAACAATTAAATAATTCATTATAGGCTATTGTAGTTCATTGTTTATGAATAAACAAATACTTTAAATGTTATAATTTGTAATTATATTCTTTATCGCTTTAAAATTTTTAATCATTAATTTGTAAAATTTTCATACAATATATTTTTGATTTAAATTCACAATTTCAGTACGTTAATTATTTGATCACATGATGTAAATCATCAAAACCCTAAAAAAATTAGACAATTCGATTTATTTTGGAAGAAGAACAGCAAAAACCTGTATGTAAATTACAGTGGACAAGTACAATCTACTCATGTTTTCTTGAACTCCAGAATGTCTTCAGAGATGGGGTCATTGACCCTAAGATGACGTACGTTACTTGTTACAGACATATTCAGACATTTAAAAATTTGTTTATTCCTTGATTAATGCCTTCATTCCCTAGTGAAAACTATTAAAGCTAACAACTTTTTAGAAGCAGATAATTACACTTATTGCCTGATTCTTCCAACTTAATTCTTTTTAAATATAATATTTTAATCCCTGTGTAATCTTCATGAGGAAATGGCTGTGAAATTGATGTTTATAGGAATGTTTAATGAAAATTCATTGCTGAAAGCTCCTAAAAAATTTTCAGTTTTACCTCGCAAAGTGAGAGAAATAATTACTTAATCTTAATACTTTGGTAAATAGTGAATTCTTTAGATTTCTTGAAATTTAATATACTGGGAAAGAAAAATAAAGTTATGTTCACAGACCAGAAAGATTTGGCCCACCCCTGCAGACCTTTCACAGTAGTATTGCTACAAGAAAAGAAATGGAATTACCTTTTCCCTATTTTTCACATCTTTTGAAAGAATGTTATCTTGAAAGGAAAGTGTCAGATAGAATATGCAAAGTCACTGAGAATTTATCTGTGAAAAAAAGTTATGTACAATTACACCACCAGGCCTCTCAACTTTATTTCTTGTAACAATTGCATTTCACAAAAATTGCTGTAAAGGATACAAGATATTTATTCTTAATATCTGAACCAAAGGACAATATATCACAATGAAGATGTGTTAATTTATAATTACCCAAGCTCAGATTTTGATGGCATGTCATCTTTTCATTGGTGTTTTGTAGCATTAGCTAACTTGAAAATGAATTATTTAATCATGACATATAGTTGATAGAAATGTAGTTATTAGGTCATTTTTGCCATTTTTAATTTTTGGGTTATTTTTTTGACATTTGTGTAATTTTTACCCATTTCTACCCCCTTTTCGTGTTTTTTGATAGTAAATGTTTCATGAATTTACAATAGCTCACTAAAACATAGTTTTTATTGTATCATCAGTTCATGACGAAATTTAATACTGCAATGCAAAAATACTGCAAATTTAAAACTGCTGGACTCTATTTTTCGAACTTCGAAAATTATATGAATCTTCGGTAACTTCCTCGACCTTTCAAAACTGACGATTGGATTTTCTCCTAAAATGGAAACTTTATATTAAACATAATTTTATATAAATAAATATTATTTAAAATTGTAAAAGTCATTGAATAAGTAAACATTTTCATACACATTTCTTATAAAGAAAAGGCCATTTCACCATATTTTTAAGTTTTTCAGGACCTCTTCCCCTTATTTTTAAGTCTTTTTAAGGTCATTTTCAATGAATTTTTAGGTCATCACAATCCGAGCCGTGAAATTTTCGAAGGCAAACACGTTTCATAAATATATGTTGCACTACCATATATGCGAATATATATTTCATGAAAGATCATTAGTATTTTAACAAAATCTGTAACCTTTATTTGTGGGTCCTTGATACCGAAAAATCAATTAACGGCAAAACGCCCATCTGTATACGTATACAAAAGCTTACGTATACAAAAAACGCCTATCTGTAAACCCTTCTAACGCCTAAACCATGCATAGGATTTTTTCTAAATTGAAGAAACCCTTCTCGATCTTACTCGAGTCGAGACTTTGAGATTTTGAAAAACATTCTTTAAAATTTGGTATTACTTAATATTACGGCCAAAACTAGCCAATTTCGTAATCAGTTTTTATTCAGGTTACACAACTTACAGAGAATACCATAAACATGTGTAGTCACAAAAATTGCCAGGAGATATCCCGGAGACTTGCCAGGTCGACCAAAACCGGAGAGAATGTCCAATAACTTCGCCGTGGTCGCGATCCGGAAGCCAAGTTCTTACACTCGCAGACAGCGTCGTCATCAGCCCTCTTAAGCTAGAAGCCCCTGACTTGAACATGGCGTTAGTTCTTTTATCGACATTGCTCCAATTTCGATTCTCGATTTTCATTACCGTTCTGTGATTGGTTCATTTCTTATGTTTTGCGTAAGCATAAGCACAGAAGCTTGAAGCTTGCAAGCTTTTAAGTTAACGTCTAACGTGTTATGCGTATGTGAACGCATTGTGAATGAGCCCACTTATATACGTAGTCCAAACTTTTATGTTAACGCCATGCGTATGTTTATGTTTGCGTTGGGAATGAGCCTTGAATGTTGCACCGACCAAGACGGTGTCCGCATTTTTCGGGGGCGCCACTGTATTGCTGCTGCGTCCTGGCGGTTCTTTTAAAGGGACGCGGGCGACCACCACTTTACATGAAGCCCTTCGGATATTTTCAAAATTTTCTCAAAAACGACTTCAAATGTTTTCTTTCAATTTCTTGTAAGAATGAAGTA